ATCACACTCAGATGTTGCAACACAAGCTAAAACATCTTGTTTCTCATGTTCCCTAAAATACATCTTGTTCATATGTTGTTTTACCTAATACAACCAAACAAAAGGAACTACACATACTTTTGTGAGAGTTGAGAGATATTGCATATCATATAAGTCGAGTGAGATTGAATGATATTACATTGTATTAAGAGAACTTATATTCTTAATTTTATAAAATGAAAATATTTTAATGAATTAAGTCTCATGATTTTTCCCTTCTTTTATCTTGAGAGGATTTTCATGTAAAATATTTTGAAATGATATTACTATTCTATTATCTTTATATTTGTTTTATTTTAATGCGCATTTTGAATACACATTAGAGATAAATTATGTTGGTATTTTTCAACAATGAGATGGAAAGACCCGGCAAATCAACAAATCAAGCACTAATTTTTATATGTTCAAAAAACCTAGCATACATACCACCGCGATGCCATAAATAGGATATTGTTGATTAAATTTTAAAAATCCTATAAACAATTACATTTTAAAATATTATTTCATTATAGCGCCTTTAACTCTAACATCGTCTGTCAATGAATTAAATCTTAAAATTGTAATTTTCTTTAATCTTAAAAATTATGGTGTGTGTATATGTTGAACTAGATACAAACTAAAAAATATTTTATAAAATTTTCTTCATATTCTTATCAAGTCATCTTTGAGAGCATACAAAATGATCTATTGCACAACAGCAACAACAACAATAATTAAGTTTTATCTCACTAAGTAGTGTTGGCTACATGAACCACTTTTCAACATATTATTATATCTAGAACCATGCTTCTATCCAAAACATTAATCTAAAGATCTTTCTTAATAACTTCTTTTATAATTTTTCTAGGTCTTCCTCGTTTTATAGTTGTTTAACTTCTCTTTATCTGATCTACTCTCATAACTACATATTATATAGATCTTCTCTCTACAGGCTCAAAGCACCTATGTTTATTTCCCACCATCTTTCCTACTATAGATGCTACCCCAACACTCTATAATATTTACATTTCTAATTTTATTTTGTCTGGTGTTACCACAAATCCAACACAACATCCTCATCTCTACTACTCTTACTTTACTCTCGTGTTGATTTTTAACCTCCCAATATTATGTCTCGTACAACATATTAGGTCTTACCACTATCAGATAAAATTTCCCTCTAGTTTGATCGATACCTTTGTGTCACATAAAACCCTTTAAGTCCTCCTCCATTTTAGCCACCAACTTGAATTTAATATTTTATATCCCCTACTATTTATCCATTGTTTTATATTATAGACCAAATATATTTAAACCGTGTGATTTGTGGGATGACATGGTCTCCAAATTTCACATGCAGGTTAAAAATTCTTCTCCTTTCTATTGGACTTACATTCCTCATACTTCTTCGTACTTCTGCTTAGGGGAAATCCATGTGGTTCTAAAGCTCTTCTACAAGTTTCTAAACTCTCAATTAAATCCTTCTTTGACTTTCCAAGTAGAACTATATCATATGCATAAAAGAATGCATCTAAGTTTATCTCTTTGATGTGTTTCGTAAGTACATCAAAGATTAAAGTAAAAATGTAGGGACTTAAAGTTGAACCTTGATGCAAACCTACTGTAATAAGGAAATCATTTATTTCTCCATGCATTGTCGTCACACTAGCCGATACCCCATCATACATATCTTGGAGGAAGGCCCCACAAACAACCCTGGCCCCGCACCTCTTCCCAACCACCCAAAACGAAGACATGATTTAACCTACTCATAAACACATCCCTTAGAATGAAACCAAGTGAACTTTCTTCCCACAAAGGACATATCCACCAATCTTATATCCTCAATAAACACGACAAATTCAAGATTATCCACCAGTCCGGAACACTTGAGGTCCAACACATACCCCTGTCCTTTCATTAGAACTAAAGAATAAATTAAAGTCTCTCAAAATACATCAATGCTCCTCTTGAAATTGATGCCGAAACTAAATCAAATGGGCCCACATCACTTACGTGAACTACAACATATAAGAGGGGATATTCAGACATGCACTCCTCAAAATAGGAACAGAATAAAACACCATATCATTTATAAAAAAAAAACACAAATAAGAGTTAGTTGAATATGCTAGAAATAAAAGCTTTAAACTCTATTTTCAAATCCTAATCAACTCTTTAGAAACAAATGAATTTCACTCCAAAACATTTAAACATCTCAAAATCATTAGAGCTTCATCGGTAAATTGGCACTACTAAAAAAATTTAAAATACTGATGAAATTTAGAGACGGAATAAATTCAGTCTCTATTAGAGAAGGAAATTGAGATAAGGAAACTAATATAGAATATACATTTTGAGACCAAAATTAAAATTTTGAAATTGGAGACAGAATTTGACATGGAAATCATCAACTCTAATATTTTTCGTCTCTAATTCCATCTCAAATATATAAAACTTTATTTTTAATTAAATAAATTATATTCAGAGATGGATATTAAAGATAAAAAAATAATTATATTATATAATATTTGTCTCTATATTTATCTCAAACAAAATAAGCGTTTAGAGACAAATATTTTCCATGTATCTAAGGAGAATATAATTTTTGAAATATATTTAAATGTAATAATGCCTCAAAGCTTAAATTAATTTTATTATGTGGATTTATATTTTAATGTTATTTATTGTGTTTTAAAATTATAATAAAATAAAATAAAATGTTAAATATATTGTGCATTTTAATGTTATTTATTTTGATTTTCTATTTTAATATCATCTATTTTGTTTTTTAAGTATCATTTTTATTCTTTAAATTTTGATGGTTTTCTATAATTAAAAACATTAGATTGATGGTTTTCTATGATAAATTGAAGGACTTCGGTATAGTTGCTCTCTTAACTAACAAACTAAATTAATGATCATTTTTTATGAATAAAAGAGTTATTTCGATATTTTTTTGCTTTGAAAAAAAAAATCATTTCATAAGAAAAAACATCATTTAATTATTTTTAAGTGTTATACTTTTCTATATATTTTTTTCTTAACTTGACTCATACTGTAGAAATCCTTCAAAATATTTTATACACCTCTAAAATCAAATTTTTTTTTACTCTTTCTAAGAATGGAGCCAAACATATACTTATATATGGAGAACTCAATACAGCTGTAAGGAAGAGCTTAAATGCATTGCTTTGGTTCCATTATAAGTACATAGCTGCAACTGAGATTTTACACACGCACACACAAGCATATGTATTTGTAACATGGTCTATCTTCCATGATGACATAGTGTACTGGACATGAAATAAATTCATGAGTATAGTGTTACCAAATTTGTGCACGATCAATCAATATCATACAGCAATGCATTGCAACACATATACCCAAAAAAACCATACATTGCAGCTCAGCAATTCTTCCTCCAGTGACACACTAGACAGTTATATATGTAAATTATGTGGTCCTTGCAAGCTAGTTGACTGTGATCTATACCCGAACCACATCATATATAATCATATATATTGTATACATGTTTAGGGCTAACTATGAATCAATGTTTTCTTTTCTATCATCAAAATTTAGTTGTTAATTTGTGTTATAGTAATTAGTGAAAAAAAGAAGTTTTTATTATCATCAATAAATTCAACCGTTGGGGTGTGTAAGGTGGCCGAACTGGTATGTGTTATGTATTAGTTGAGTTAAATGAGTGTAAAATGATAATCCTTCAATTTCAATCTTTAGTAGTATTATTTATTTTTTATATTTATTAATCTAAATAAGTTATTGATATTTATGAATCAACAATTTTATAAAAAAAATCAACCATTTGATTGAGTGAGATATTGTGAGAGTTATTGATCTAATGGTTGAAAAAATTCATGCATTATACAACAATATCTTATTTGTGCACCATAAAATTAGTCTAATCATGGTAAGCAAATTTTAAGTGTAATGTTATTTTGTTGTATAATATACAATAAGAAATTTTCTAGCAATTTTTAGCTGATTAAAGATTTCTATGAAAATTGATCATAATTAAGTATTAATCTAATATGAATCTCAAAAGAAAATCTAAAATAGAGTTATAATTTTTTTAAATAAACCTCACATTTTATTATAAATAGACCTAATGTATATTTTTTCTAATAAGCAAATATATTCCAAGTAATAAGGATACTACAACTCGATTAAAAAAATAATCTCAATAGAAATTAACGCTTATAAAAATAACCACCACCATGAGAAAGATTATAATCCTATCGACGATTATTTTTGAATTCTCAATCTCATTGTATATGAAAACTTAACTTAAAGTTCAAATTTATCACTATATATAGTTTATGTTTAGATTAACATTATACTTATCAGAATCACATTATGTTAAATTTTAAATACTCGTTGAGTATAATAATAAATTAATAAAAAAGGAAAATAATTTGCTTCCTTACACCATTAATACATGTACACAAAAACCAATAACCTGCATGCACTGTAAATGTTTAACCCAAACAGCACACAAAAGAAACATGAAGGGAAAGGAGAAAAAAAGTAACCAAGTGATGTAAACATAATTGAAGGGACAACATATTAAGTAGAAATAATTTTAATAAATAGTTATACAATTTTCAATTCCATCTTCATGCATAATAAATGTATACAAACTCACCTCATTTGGTGTCAACAACATATTCCAATAAACCATGTGAACTTTTCCACTTCTTCTCCAACTCTAAACATCATGAACACATTATTTTTCTCCTAGAATATTTCCCTTAAACACATCAAGATTGATCACCTAGTAACCATCAATCTCTATACATAAGCCTTGATCAGTTAGCATTATGCATATATTGTATACATAATGTCAAAACTTCTATGCTTTCTAACTAATCAACCCACCAAATATGACATTGTGATTTTGTCAAGCTCATACCGGATACCGTGATTCTGTCAAACTCACTGTCAATTTGCACATGAACTCAGTTGTTTTGGTTTGCTTTATTGATCTTCAAGCCGAAATTCTCCCACAAACTTCCACTTTCATTAATCAAAAACGGAAAGCAAGCATCGCCATTAGCAACATTACCGACATTAGAATCGGAAGGTGAAGAACCATGATCAACATTTCTTTGTAGCTTCACAATCTCCTCTCTTTGATGATTTACATCAATATAACCACTACCTTGATTGTACATAGAACATTGTTCATTATTGTTGAAGTAAAAATTCTCCTTTCTCTTCTTGTTGCCTTCTTGTAAAGATAAAGAATCCCTTTGGTAGTTATTATCAGTACCTCTCACAGTACTATTCAATATTTCACTCCCATCTTCATTTTGGTTTTCAATGTTGCTTTGATGAATCTCACCTTCAGTTATTACATTTATACCCTTATGATTATGACCTTCAAGTTCAGCCTTCATTTCTCTTCCTCCTATATTCTTCAAAGCTTCCATTAAAGCAGCATCCCTTGCTTCAATCCATGCTCTCTCTTTACTCCAAAACCTTTGTTCCTTTTCTACCCTTTTTGCTTCTTGTGCCCTCCACTCTTCCTCTCTCAAAACCCTTTCCTTTTCCTTATCCTCAAGTGTCTTCACAAGTTTACTCAACCACTCTTCTTGCTTATCCACAAGCTTCTTCATTTGTGAGTCAATGAACTCTTTTATCTTCACCTTCCAACTCCTCCTCCTTCCACTACTCTTCCTCTTTCCCTTCTCATCATCCGACGACGAAGTATCGATCTCAAAGTCAGTTGAGTTAGTAGTGAGACTCAAGCTATGATCATTATTATTAAAAACTTCTTGGTTAGTAGTTTTTGAAGGGTTTTGAAAATTGAAGTTGCTGACAAAATTGGTTTCTGGTATAGAAGTTTGGTTACTGTTTTCACCATATAAAGCTTCAAGTTGACGAAAGAATCTGTAATTCTTACCATCATGCCTTCCTGCTTTACCTTCTTTTGTCTTCTTGTAATATTTGTATAGATTCTCAAATTTCTCCCTGCACTTTTTTCCATTCCTTTGATATCCATGTTCTTCACACATTATCCTAACCAAAATCATATAAAAAAAATATTATTAAACAACTTCCATACTACTAACCAAATGTTTACTATATTATTAAATACAGACACCAGAAACACGACATAGAGATACACAGACACATTCATATCAATAAAATTAAACATAAAATAAAAATAAAAAACTTAAATGTAATAGCAAATGTAGATACACAAACACAGCTTGCCGGTATAGAGTTAGTATATCTAATATAGCACAAAATATGAAAATTAAAATGATGACATTATTGTAGTGGAGAAAAGAGAAATAGAATGTATAGAACCCTAGGTAGCTAGATAAAGATGAAAAGTGTGTGAAGAGAGAGTTTAGTTCCTAAAGAAGTCTCATCAAGTGATGTGACGATGAGGTATGAAAGTTAATAATTTTATGCAAAGCCATGCAATGACGTTTTGGTGTTCTTTGTTACCTAGTTATGGAAAACATTAACTAAGCATAGGACAAATCAATTCCTAAAGAAAGAGAGTAGTTTTTGAAGAAAGAGCTAGCTAGCTATAGCTTGCCTCACCTTGATGTCATTTCATACAGATTCAAAGAGTACAGGTGCAAGCAAAAACCAATACACATTGGAATGGTCAATGAATCTTTTTTAATAAAGAAAATTTCTATCATGATGGTGATAAAAAGATGAAATTTAATAAAGTGAAACAAAATTTGCACTTAAAAGAGGGGTACAAAGTTTCAATGTTGAAAAATGAGACAGTGGTAGAACCTTACTATACTTGGTATGTAAACTTAAATGTTCTCTAGCTAAGTACTTTAAAAACAAGAATTAACTCATTAATCATGTTCAATATAGTGACTTTTAACCTTAAGAAAATTGCATCCAACAGCTTTTCATTGGGCTTTTCTCGGATCCCCAGCGAAGAAATTAACGCCAAGTGCAGTCATGTCATTTTAAATTTAACCAATCCCAATATCTATATAGAATCTTCAATCTAAAACTATCATTTTGTCTTTTTTTTTCTCTTAATGTTAAGAATCAAACAAAAGATACAAAAACTATCATTTTGAAATGATTAATATCTTCAAAATAAAAATTAGAAAAAAAAAGCATTCTAGCTACAGTAATGTTGAGTTGAATATGAAGAAGATGAAGAGAATAAAATAAAAGTGTGTTGTATTTGTACCTAGAAACTTCATCCCATAAGGGACCCTTTTGATTAGCTTCTTTAAATTTAGGGTCAAGACGAGATCTGATTTCAAGAAGAGTAAGAGTTTCTTGTCTGGGCCATCTTCCGGTGGAGGCGTCTCCGCCGATGCATCCAGTGGTTTCAGGAGTGGAGACACTAGCGGTGGTGGTTGTGACTGTTGATGGAGGAGGAGGTGGTTGAACATGAGTGGTGATGTTATTGAAGTCTTCAAGAACATTAACGCCACGACCCAACATCATCATCTCGTACTGATGTTGTTGGTCGTTTTGATGTGATGTGGTTAACAACGCAGTCAGATTCCGGTGACCGGTGAAAAACTCGTCCGAGGATGGTATTGAGGAGAAATGGGTTGACCTTGGTCCGTTAACTAGTTGTCTTAGATCAGTTGACATCCCGTTGTATTGTTGTTGATGATGGTGGTGTTGGTGTTGGTGTTGATTGTGGTGACTATTATTGTTACGGTGGTCTTCCATTTTTCATGTATATATGAGAAAAGAGAAAGCTAGGGTATTAAGATGAGATAGAAAGAAAAGAAGAAGATGAAATAATAAGTGAGGGAGAGAGTGTGAATAAGCGGCAGAGTCGGATCCTGTCGTGCAGGAAAAAAAAAGGCTCAAATTTGAAGTTAAGGACAATGGTATGGTCCCATGTCTGATAACAAGTGTGTAATGAGAGAATGAGACTCTGTTAGTGTGAGAGAGAAGAGAGTAGAGGAGAGTAGAGAGACTCTCTCTTTCTCTCTCTGTTTGTTTATACTATAGTAATTAAGTATAGGGTGTATGTGTATTAGTGAGTGTGAGAGTACATTAGTCTCTCTATTTGGCTTTTTTGAACATTAATATGCTGCTTCCTTCTCTGTCTTTGTGTCCGTACTGTGGGGTATGAGGTTGGACTTTAGACTAGTGCTTTTTGGAGAGGGAGTGAGTGACTTTAGGGTAGGCACCCAAAAGGGCCAAAGCCCTAAGGGTTTTATTATATTATATACTGTATTTATAATTATTTTTATTTCTTCTTATATAAGTAAAGTTAGTATTAGTTAATTTATTAAAGGAAATTATTTGTAGATACAAATCTAGTATGTATCTCGTTTGTATAGATACTATGTGTATCTGGTTTCTATGTATTCTACCTGGTTACTTTTTAAATTTATTAAAAAATTAATGTATATCAAAAATTTAAAATGTAACTTTTTATATATTAAGAATTAGAGCGAGTATTTAGTTTGTAGATACACATCTATTGTATTTGAATTTTCTACGATTAATTGGTGAACGCATGTTCTTATTATTCAAAGACTCTTTAACAAATTTATTAACACGACTAAACGATTGAAATTAATACAATTTAAGTAATAAGAGAAAAGACATAAATGATTTGTCTCTCGTCTAATATATTTTTTGAGAGAAAGAAATAAAGAATAATATAATAAATAATATAGATTTTTAATTTTTTTTAAAAGGCCAACATATTAGAGAGAGAAAATAAAACAAAAGAAAAACAAGTTAGTTCCGAAATTAAGAAAATCTAAAGAGGTAATTTTAACTTATTCTTTACAAAACTATTCTGAGTTTTTAAAAGAATGGAATAAAAAAATAATCATGTTAGTGTCGAGCACTAAATTTTCTAAAAAGTCGGCACATGTGTTGTCTTCTTTATAAATGTGAGTTATAACTAAGTTAGATAACTTACCATGATAGGTGCAAGATATTCAACGGTTTCGAACAACCACAGAACCAAAGAACAATTGGTGAAAGCTTTGGCCATCAAAAAGAGCGATCTCGAGCCATAGCTTTTTCTAACCATTGTTGAAAGCAATTTCTATAGTATTGATAACAACTCCAAATTCAGCATAAAAGGGAGAATTGCAGGTAAGATTCTCCACAAAAGCCAATATAAAATTATTAAGATGGTTGCGGAAGATATCACCATCACTTGTAGTCGAGGAATCATGAGTGTAAGCTCCATCTGTATTACATTTGATGTGATAAAAAAAATATGCAAAGAAAAATTCTTATAAAAACAGTTGAATCCACGCTGATAAAATATGATTTTACATGTAAAAAGAATTAATAAAAATAAATTATTATATTATCAACATATTTTTTATTTAAATTTTTATAATTACAGATGGAAAATATTATTAAATAAAAAAATATTTTCTTGTGATGTTTATGATTAATTATTTTGGCCTTCATGTAATATATCTCTAGGTTTTGTCTTTTTCTTCTTTGTCATTAAAACTCTTTTGGCATTTCAATCAATATTTTACATCTATATCTTTTTTTTGATACATTGGCTTAAATATTTCAGAACTAAATATTCATTTTATCCTTGAAATATTATCATATTATATTTAACTAAAAATATTAAAATAACAAATAATATTTAACTTTTCAAGACTAACACATATCATTTTGTCACATTAATATCTAAAAAATAATTAGACATGTGAACATATGAAAATTCTAAAAATTTGGTGTGAGTCTAATCCCGCTAAGAGAATGAATCTTCTTGCAATTTAAGATGTTACGTAGGGATGAAAACGGGGCGGGGGCGGGTTTAACTATACTCGCACCCGCACCCGCATCAACCTTTATGTAACACACCCGCCCCCGTCCTCAAATTCAATCAAAAATAAAAATTTACCGCCCAGATACGCCCCTAGTGGAGAACGGGTGCACCCGCACCCGCCCCACCCCTACCCGCAAAAATTAATTTTTTTTTAATTGCAATAAAGATTGATAATTTAATTAAAAAATTGATTATTTTAATAAATTAATTATTTATTTAATTAAAATTTTAATTAGTAAATTAATATTAACTTGATTAATTTGATTATTTTAATTGTAATAAAGGTATTAATAATTTAATTAAAAATATAATTAATAAGTGAATATTAAAAATTAGTTGTGTTTTGTCATTGCTTATCTCCGGTACGGTGGACCTAGGGGGTACTTGCATGGTTAATACTCTAACACCCAAGTCAGTTATGGTTTAAGATGATTATGGTGAAAGTGAATATTAGAGATTGTGTACCTGAAAATCCTTTGTCAAGGCATTTATACCTTAGGCTCAACGGAGCAGGCAGAATAAGTGGGCCTTATCTTATTGGACCTTTGGACGATATAGAACAGTTTCCCCCAAGACTCTTCGGGCACTCTAGATGTCGGATGAGTCTTTTAGCAGTTGTGGACGACCCTCATGAATAGTTGTTTGTTTGTTAGCGGGCATGTATCACTTTGGTTTTGCCTAATAGTAATAGAGAACATGAACATTAAATGCAGTCCCATCATGGAAATGTTTCACTGTTTTTCTCTTGATGTGTGACATAAAAAGGTAGATAGTAATGTGGCGCAACTTATTGTGCACTTGAGTGCGCTTAAGTCTTGTTTTGTTTCCAAGATGAAAATTTACCATTGATTCACACTTGCTTCTTACTTTAAATCCAATTCGCTCAATTGCTTTTGCCTATGTAAGGATAGAGGAAATTTGGGGAATTTTCGCAACTTATTAGATTGAATATCCCTTATTTCCTTTGAGTTTTTCCTTGCTCTCTAAGAGCGTTTTTCCAGTACACGTCTACACGTATTCAATGCTTTCAAGATCCAACCTTAACTTTCACATCTTTGTTTTTGACCTACCACTTTTAAGGTACTCTCCTCCAACTCAAGCTTTTTGCTTCAAGCATTTTTTATTTCTTTATAGAGATGAGTGATAAACCTATTATCATATAGAGTGATTTGGAAAGTAGTACTTCTTATTAGATAAGTGAAATGGATTACTTCTTAGTTGGTGATTTGGAAATGGATGGAGTTTTTGGAGATTTCTTTTTAGACAAAGCTCCTTCAAGAGATCTCGAATAGGCTTTATTTTCAAAGAGAGTCGGTGGGGCTAAGATTTCTGTTGAGAAGTCGCTGCCTCTCCTTGTCATGACCGAGCTGAAATAGATGTTTCCCGTTGAGGGAAGGAATGTGCTTGTAGCTTCGTCTAAATATATGCACGAATGGATGGTCGTGAGCCCAACGATGCTGAAATTGCACGCTATTTAGAGCATCGGAGGTAGTCTAACATTGTATCTTAGATCAGTCATGATGATCACTTTATAGCCGATAAACTGGTCCGAAGGAGACTTTAGTTAATTAAATTGGAAAACACCAATAAATACCACTAGGTGGAAGCCGAAGTTGTAAGGACTCCTTCAGCCCTGAACATTTTTAAGTCTATGGAAAATGCTACCATTAGGGTCGGAACCCCCTAAGACTATTTAATTCTCCCAGTAGGCATGACGAAGAGGATATGCAGCTCTTTTGAAGCTTGCCCAATTTCTATGTATGAATGCCTCTTCACCAGGTTTGGTATATGTTATCCCTTTTCTGATTTCGTAACTTCATTGGGTGCTTGGGCTTATATAAAGGTTTTGTAACTCTGCGTCCAGCAAAAATCTTATAAATCTTCTCTAGAGCTCTTTTTCGATCATTTTTATGCGGCCCATACCTCTCAAGATGATGCCCAGGATCAAGGATTGATCTTTCTTCTCCCCCAGGTCCCTTGTGTTATACCCCAAATTTTGACACCTAGATCACATCATCATTCTAGGAGCATCAATATTGATTATCTAACTATAACCTATTTCAAGTTTGATCTTTGTCAAGATACAGATGAATTAGGGTTTCACAGTAAAAGATTAGGGTTTCAAGGGATTGATCAGTCAAAATTTTAGACTGATCCTCCATATATCAAATCTTCATATCATCAAGGATATCACATTGGTTCAAGAATGAATCCAACTTGAGGTTGTCACCCAAGAAAGAAGAATAGTGCAGTACAAGAACTCTAATTAGGGTTTCTGATTGAAAAAGTCAATTGTAGTTTGAATTTTGACCTAGAGGATGTTCTAAAGCTTGAATCATGGTCCATGAGGCTCATATGACGCAAGGAAGTATACCCAAGAAGTTTCAAGGCATCAGAGAACCCAGAATACCAACAATCAATTTAGAGGTTTTCAATCGTTTGGTTCGTCTGACTGAAAAGTCAACCCTTTGACCGACATGGTTTTGACACAAAATTGAAGCCAAATATATTCCTAACATCATTTAATATCTAACTATGAAGTTTGGTGACCAATTGATCAAGAATTGAGAAGTAATCGAAAAGTCGAGAAATTAGGGTAGGGTCAGGCCATAACTTCTTAACCACACATCCAAATGGAGTAGTTCAAAGCTTGTTGGAAAGGTCTCAATGTGCTCTTCAAAAGTGATATCCACACTAATGAGCAGAAAATTCATGGAGTTTGAGTTATGAGCAAAAACAAGGCAAGAGGGGGAAAATACACTTAGAAATTTCAAGATTTCTTGACTTGTAAGTCAAGTTTTCAGCATTTTCACAAGGGTTTTTAACCTAGTTTCAAGAGGAATGGGTTCCTACATTAAACATCAATGTTGTATTACCTAATGAGGGCTTTCCGAAAAGTAGA